TAGATGAAATATACGAACTAATAAAAAGTAAGTCATGTGACAAGAAAGTTTAAAATCCAAGTTAATAAAAATACATATGTAAAGGTGGTTAACGGGAGACGCAATAATATCACTCATAAAGAAATTTAAATCAGTTCACTTTGTGCTAAAAATTGCGCTGAAAATGTTGTCCAGAAGGATGATGAAAGCTCCGCAACTAAACTAACCAGCTAAGAGAACATTATTAACTGCTATTATTGTGTGCCATGGTCACACACATCCTTACTTTCCCTTTAAATACACAATATAAGAAGAGGAAATTAAGGTATTTTTCTAGTCAGTGTTATTTTATAACCAGCTGCCAATGAAAATCATTTGTCCTCTTATGAACACATTATTTTCTTGGGTTCAGAACACAGAAGTAAAAGGTTTTTAAACTATGAAAGCATCAAACGAGTGTTTATAAATCAGTTAGATATGCCTAAAATTACAATTCTTATTAAGGGACTACAATGATTGTTAATAAAAGCTAATTTTCAGAAATTTTTCGTGTATGGAAGATGAGAAATATGAAACTATCGTTTACTTGAATGAATAAAAGTTTTTTTCATTCAAACCAAGAGGTAGTAAACATTTTATTGCACAGAAAAGTCATTTAGGTGTGAAGGATACATTAAAAGGAGAACTCGATTTCTTTCAAAATCTAGAGTTTGAAATAGACGTCTAATTTCATTCAACGAAAAGCATATAAGACGTTACCTTGAAAGTGCGCATTGGACACATGTTCAAGATTATCATTTTTTTATATGTAAGGCTGCTATTTTTTCCCTTCACTTTCCCCAGTGGAACATAGGGCTTCAAGCTAGTGGCTTGAAGTTCCTGTAGCAGTATTTATTTTACAGGATAGGGTTTCTAGCCTTATGCCTAACCTTTCCTCTGTACCAGCATTATTTCTGGCTTAGCGAAGTAAAGGAGTGCGTCGGCCGGGGTCAGGTCCCTGACCATGTGCATGGTCGGTGAGCGTCCTAACCGCTATGCCGACGACGCACATAAGGCTGCTATGCTGTTGACTATGTTTTCTTTCTTTGATGGCTTAGAAGACCAAATCAGCCATCAAGAGTAAAGTCGGTCATAGTAGTTTCTCTTGTTAATTATTTATTTCATCACGAGAATTCAATAAAATGAAGTTGGCATTTGCTACAGATATGCAGAAATTTTATTCAAATAATAATTTGATGTTCACAAGTGACAAACCTGCGTATGTAATCCCTGATGGATATTTGCAACTCTGCCTTTTACAGAGTGTTGTTATGTTTGGCTGATTCTAGGAGAAATTACAGAGAAGTAATTACACTACTTATAAGTAGATCAAATTACGAAGATACCTCATTTCGATATTTTTTGGCGATTATTTTGAAATACTTTTTAATTATGCAGGAAGACTGAAGTCAGCAAACTAAAAACTCGAAACCAAGGTAGTTATTTCTTCATACTATCTCATTACATTGAGTTTTGCCTTCTGTCAGTTATTCTGATTTGGCTGATGATAATAATCGATAAATTATCATTAGTTACATATCTATACATTGTGAGAAGTGTATCATTGACAGATTAAGGAGAAAAGGTGATATTTCAGCATGTGATTCACTTGATTTTATCTTCACAAGCATTATGCATCAATACAGTTCATTATTTTTCAGAATAGAAAGAAAGAATAGATTTTTACTCTGAAGAAGGCGCGAATAAGAATATGAAAAGAATGATATGACATTTTATTTAATAACAGACTATTTCAAACAGACGTCTTCTCTAGGTGAAAGGAAGCAGCGAATTTAGATAGTGAATTAGCCAACTCAGTTCTCGTTTCTATTGTTTCAAGTGAATCAAAGAAGAGGGCTGCATGAGTCTTTGACATCTGTGTTGGTAGGCAAATTTCCTACTCATTTTCGAAAATGGTTTCTACGTTTTTACTTAGTTTAAATTAACAACAGAATCATATTTATTTACATTAATTGGCTTAGATAACAAAAGACTAGAGGGGGTGGGGAGAGAATTTCGAATAACTAATTATTGCATTATATCCTTCACTTCATTAATCGGTGAGGATATCTTATATCTTGATATGATTACGGGAATTAGTTGTCTCAGCAAATAACATTTCATGATTGTTATTCATTCCTTGAGTTTAGGGTGGAACATATTTCTTCGATGGAATAACTCAGCTCTGTGCCATTAATCTTAGCCAGCCATAACACTGACCACAGGATTTCATCTCTCCATTTCCATATCAGCTTGGAAAAACAAACTTGTTGCTTGCCACTAGGTTTCAACTTGAAGGCCTGGCCTGTGATGGAAATTGGAAGTCCCTTCAGGATGTCTTCAGCCGTCCATCATTAATTGCTGAATATTTTCGCGTAAAGGGTTTCTGCGCATGAAGCTAGCAACCCCATCCGGTAAAAATCAATACCGCTTTTACCGAAACTTCAAAGCTCTAGCTTGAAGCTTTGTGTTCCATAGGGGACGCAAAGGAACAATTAAAAAGGGGTTCCTGGCTAGACGGAGGGAAGAATTTCCTTTTGATTGTTTTTTCTGATTGGCCATTCAATCTGCAGAATCGTGTGAAGACAGCTCTTGATGAAAGTCTGCAGAAGTCCCTTGTAAATGTATTTCATGAAACGTCATGCGTACCTAAAGTTCGGATATTCTTTCTTATGCTGAATATTTAGGACCTCCACAGTACTTTCAGAATAATGAAGGCTTGTCCTGATTTCTGAATTCTTTCTGGCCTCAAATCTATGCTAACTATGGGTGAATCAGTGGTGTCTATCAAGGTACGTGAAAGAGATGACGTTCTTTAGATTTCCATCATTAATGTCGAATACTGTTTGTTTATGTTTTCCTGGTATATTCATCATCTCTATGTTTTCTCTGTTAACCTAAGTTCGTTTGCTTGTCGCCTTTCCTTCCAGCCTGTTGATTTAAACTTTTAAATCTTCGTTTCTTGTCAGTGCACCGTATACCCATATGTATGGTTTACAAAGTTAATATAATTAGTGTAGAACCATCAAAAAAATGTAAGAAAACGCCAAATTAGTGACTTTCACATATAATAAGGACTAATAAAAGTATCTAATCCGAAATAGGTAAAAACAGCCTCTCAATTTTATGCAGAACATTAATTAAGTCCGTTTGAAGGGAGTGCAATACCTGTTACGTTGAGAATTGTTTTACATTGGTGGTGCTTTCTTTTCAGGCTGAATAAGATGACTGTTGTACACTTCCATATAACGTGAGAAATTAGGTATGAAATCCGAAGGATAGCTTAAAATATCACAAAGTGTAAGTTAGAAAATTTAAAATTGTTGGACAATATCGTTTAGCCACAAAAAGGAGGATGACTCAGATTTGTGTGGAAAGTTGGCTTCCAATTTATGTAAGTGAAACGAAGCACTAACCCTACATCCAACCTGCACTTTATAACCAGAGTAATGTCGTGTAAAAAAGAGATGATTATTGGCAACAACACTACGTGGTGAAATCTATTTGTGTAAGACCTTGTAAACTTGGGATCCATCCTTTAGTATTACAGTCTGTCGAAGTCTCAATGAGTACAACCTTGTGAAACTTGGTTTGAAGTAGGTCGACTTTCTATTGTAAGCCAATCTACATACTTCACAGACGAGCTTGGTGAGATTCTGTCTAACACGAAACCAACTAAGGTAACTGTCTTAACTTAAAATTTATATCTCAGCTTATAATTGTGATTAGTCGTTTCTTACTCGAAAATGTAAATGTTATGAGAGACAGTGATATCCATCTTTTAAATATTTGAACAACCCTATACGTTTAAGCAGTTATTTCATGTAAAGACCTACAGCTGTTTAATTTTGTGATTTATTCTATGGACCGTTTTATCAATATCTACGCATTTCACAGATCTGAGATTTTACTTAATGAAAGAAGATAAAATTAGAGGAAGAATGCTCCAGACAACAAATTCTACCAGAAAAAAAAGTAAGTTTCAAGCACTATACAACTCAGGGAATAGTGAGACATCAGTGAAACACTTAGAAATTTGGAATGCAAACTTATAGTGAAAAGGTGAGGAGAAATGAGGTCATTGTGTGATTGACTGTAAACATTCTATTGAGAATAGTAAATAAGCCGGAAAAATATTAATGGAAGCAAAAGCTATGACGGTTACAGGATGCAATTACAAAGTGTAATTAAAAATTTTGGATCATGAAACTAGTAACTGTTACGTCCACATCTATAACGCAGCGATTCCACACGTTTGTAGAAGCATTTGATTTGAATTAGCTTTACGTTACTGAGGTTTTCTGTGAATTAGCTTAATCAAAGCTGAGGCGATTCACGGGACATAAAAAATTTTTCAGACTCACTTCCTTCTAACCTCATAGGATAAAGACTAGAAATATAATTTGGAAGACTATGCTCTAATTGTCCACTCAATAAGCCATATGACAGTGAATTAACTGACTATGTTTGTAAATGAAACGTATTAACTACCGGGATTGTTTTCTGGTTCAACAAGTATTATCACAAAGACAATTGTAATGTTAGCGTCAGTTTTTTGTACGATAACGTTTTTGAAAATAGCAAAACCTTTAAAAGATACATTGAAACACCCGATTCCAGTATGAATAAATTAATTGCATAATTATTGAGGTTCCTTAAAATAGAGGTTACTGATTTTAGTAGAAACATGTTTTACGTGTACAAGTGTTAATAAATGAGTATGCTTTTTTTTATTCGTTATTTTGTCTCTAACTCTCACAGTACCGTTAGTATTCCATAATTTAAAAGTACGCGCGCTACCAAACTAACTGTAACAATATATCATTAATGTACAATAATTCTGGCTTTTATACATAGAAATAAACAAAACTTGTAAAGAAGAAATCTTTTATTCAATTTATTTATCACAGACATAAAAAATATAGGATGGATTTCTGGCAATTTATATGTTACATTTAATTCTTGTTTTAGTTACAACGAATTTATCCAGACTTGAACAGTAGAAAAGCAACATTATGTAGGTAGAAGTAGATAAAGTAGTTTGTTTCATGTGTAACATAACTGAAAAGAAAAAAACATAAATAATGAAGTTAATTAATTAAGTTTCCGGTTAATATATTTACTAAATATAGAAATACTGAAGCATTTCTACTGAGAATAATGAGTAATAATAGTAATAAAGGAACCAGTTTGGAAATCTGCACTGCACCCAGCATAAACCACAGGATTCTGATTTTCAGCACAAATGTGAAGTCGGTCACTTCTTCTCTACGGGTTAGAAACTTGACCAGATTGTCACGAGAGGGATTTCCAACAGGTTACGGAATTTTATCAACAGCTGCCCACTTCACTGGCTGACTCAATTCTGCAGACCGAATGGCAGGCCAGGAAGAATTAACAATAAGAAACTCTGGCTGGGAACAAACCAACCAGGAGCCGATCTCTCAACAAAAATGTAGGATAAAATGGAGATGGATCGGGCATACTTTGAGGAGGCCGTCGAATGACATCCTGCACCAGGCCGCTGGGTAGCGACGAGTGGGTTGTCAGTGCGAGGGTGACATGGAGGAGATTGCGTGATTTGCAGGAGGAGATGAGAAATTATGGACAGTCATGGACCCGGCTGAAGAGGATAGCAGAAAATAGAAGAAGCCCTACATTCCGCTCGGAACCCAAGATAATACTAGTAATATGCATCAGTGATATCTTTAAGTTCAAGCTATTGCCGTAATTCTCAATGCAATGTAGTCAGTATACAGTAAACAACAACGAATGAAAAAGGACACTTAACGTACCTTCCAAAATTCTTGCCAACAATACACTGCCAAGTTGGACCATATTTCTTATCGAATTCCTTCTTGACATAAGTTGCGAAGTCTTTTTCAATAACATATTTATCCATAACTTGAGCCGCCAGATCTACTGCATACTGTTGCATTTCTTCATGCATATCTGTACTCTTCACAATGGCTTTTTTCCCTTCCATTTTGGCAAGAAGAGGTGCTGATAAATTATTACTGTATACAAAATATTCTATGTTATTTATACATCATATAGTGAAAGTGACCTTACTTTTTAATGTAAACAATTCTTTAGTAGCATATCTTCAGACATATCACCTTATTGAGAGGTAATAGTAGAACAGTTATTAAAAAACACAGTCTGTATTGGACAGTTAATTAAATAAGTGTCTTAGAGTACATAGTTTTTAGTTGAGTAACGCTGTTGCTACGTAATATTTTAGTAGTATAAGGTTGAGTACCCAAAAGTTGTCAACACATAAGCAGACTAATAAACACTCCTTAGTGATCGATTTAAAAAGTTCCTCTGATAGCTTTACTGCATTTTAAGCTTGATATTCTCTGAGTAGATATTGAAATAAGATTCTCAGGAAAGTCTTTAGCGCTTTAGATAAATCAATACCTCTGGAGGATATATTAGTAATTCGAAATTTTGAATAATTTCAAAGTTATCAGGATTATTAAGTATTAGTGTAATGGTACTTAAAATTTAATAATGATCTTGCTTACCGAAATGAGATATTTAATGGAAGAATTATTTGATGATGTTAGATAGTTGGAAGCAATCGGCAGGAAGCCATCGACTTAGGTTTCGTGCTAGTTTTCACTCGTCAGACTGAGTGCGGATACAGGAAAAAATTGATACTGCAAAGGAATTATGCAGAATAAAAGAATCTGAATGACATACAACAAATCACATTGATGGTGTTCGCTTACGCAACCCAGAAATATAGAGTATTATTTCTCTGAATATCAAACTTGATTCCATAGGTGACCTAATTACTGACACACAAAAAGAGGAATGTGTTAGACTTCCAGGAAAGAATATTTCTTAACGAATGATGACAGTACCGTTCTTTATTTAATCATCATTCTTCAGTATCCTCATAGATAAACTCATGTATACGAACACTTATATATTTATATATATGTGCGTTTACCAGTTGGCCTGACTCTGTAGAGTTGGATATACTGATCATTTTAGGGTGGTTATTTTCAAAGGAATTCTAAAACACTTGAGTATAATTACAAGCCTGTGAAGCTGGGTCTATGAGAACTCCAATAATTAAAATTTTTATCATTACTGGTCAGTGAATCTCAACAACGTTTTTCCCCGAACTCATTTACAAAATGACAAATAACCTGTAAAAGTCGGTATATGTTCACCTTCTTTATTCTTCTGAGGATTTGGTTATCTAAATGGAGGGGCTGTAATTTGGCGTAGAAAAAATGATTAATTTTATTATTTGTTAGGAAAGCGTATGTATTGTTTCTTCCAACAATATTTTCGTTTTAGGTAAACATCCATACCTTTATGGGGGTCTGTGACTAACATACACCTTTTACCAGCTACCTTCAGTATGCTTTGCTGACAAAAGTGGTGCTATTATATATCTAATCGCTTCATGTCAAAACTCAAATAGCGTCAGGTATCTCTAAAGTTAGTCATCAGATGTATTTGGAGTTTTAAGGTAAGGGTAGAAAAACCAAGCTTGAAAGAAATGCATGAGTAGACTAAAAGAGTATTGCTGTTTTTCAGTATTCCTTAGACTACCATCTTATGTTTAATAGGTGTATACCTACTTCTATTTTTCCACCAAATGGTAACTTCAGATCTGACACAGTAAGTGTGATTTTAATACAAGGGCTTGAGTCTAAATATCGTCTATGCTTCATGTTTCGCTGAACTACAGCACTTACAGAATTCATCACTCTACTAAAAGTGAGAATACAAACCAAATAAAGAAATTATTATACTAAATATATACGCATATAAGTATTCTACAGAAAGACCAATACATTATTCTGACCCCATCATTCGTGATATGGTTCTGCGTTAGCCATCAGAACAGAAGACATTGGCCTAATAGACAACATTATGTTGTTTCGCATACTTTTTGATTATATCACACAAAGTGCAAACCACTGTTCCTGCAAGTCCATCACAGTGGCTTTATGGCTTTTATCCGACAAACTGATTTTCCTAGACTCGAAGTCTACTGAAGACCTTCTCGACTAATGCTAAATATCTTAGTTACAGAACGAAATGTGTATATCATTGTTCTTTTTAGAGCAGTGCTTGAAGCTGATATCAGTTTGTAATTTAGAAGATCCTCAGATACACTATCATTTTTAGCTTCAATTACTGTTGAGGTTCAGTTACAATTCTAGTGGAGCAGAGAATACTTTTGTTTTGTAACTCTGTGAGATAAATTAATACTTAGTTTCAGACGATTTAACTGTGATGTTTTTATCATCTGGCTGTCTCTGAAAATCATAAATTTCAAACAAGAGAAACTCAGAACAAATCCTGATCTAAGTTATTCAAAATACACCATGCTGCATGAAGCAATGCAAATATACCCATTCATTCTTCGTGGGAAAAACAGAAAAAACATCGATTTTTGTTTATCATGCTTTATGGTAAATGGAGAAACACTGCAGTCTTGGCCTTAGTATAGTTATTATTCACAAATTTTATTAAACTACAAAAAGTTATTTGTTTTGTAATAGTTTTGTTTCCTTGACGAAGGTAAATATTTTTTATGAGAACCTAAGAAATCTAGAACTTGAGTCATTAATTGTTTTAGCCCAGGTCTCATAATTATTGTTTTGCATAAGTTTTTAGAATTACGATATCATGTCCTGAAACTGCCTAAAACGGTATAAAGTATAAATTATTGGTAGGATGGACAATGATCCATACAAAACCAGTTATGTTATACCTAAACTGAGTGTAACGAATACATTTCAGAATCCTGTAGAAACTCTAGAAATGGGTTTATGACATACCTTAACAATTACGATTATTGTAGAGTTGTTACTTCCACGTCATAAAATCATTAATATGTAACTTGGATATTTGATACTAAATGATTGTTTAGTAAAATTCCAGTGAGGTGTTTATTTGGATGGCTTCAGAGTACTTGTCAGTCTATGACAGTAAATGTTAGTTTATTGTTGTGCCTAGGCTTTTAGATTTAGAGTTAAGCATATAAAAATGAATTTTCATGATGCTATATATGTCTTACTGCATAAGCAATACTTCGTCTTTACTTGAGTCCAAATGGTGCTCACTCAGGGTATTTAGATTATGTCATATGATCGCTTAACTCTCTTTCCAAAACAGAGAGAAGGAAAATAAACAGAGTTGTTGCAGGGGAACTTCAATTCATCCGGATGACACTTAGCAACACTACTGGTCATCCAGTTAAAAAATAATTACATCGTGTAATAATTATCAAAAGTAAGTTTGTTATGCTCGATTACACATCTGCTTTCGACTCAGCGTCTAGGGAAATTTTGTTAAACAAACTTGCTGAAATTCAAACTGACTAATGGACTGTCAAATGGCTGCATTCTTATATCTCAGGAAGAAAGCAGCATACTGTATGTCAGGGAAATTCGTCCGCGTAATTCCTTATTGAGGCTAGTGTCCATCAAGGCACTGTCCTTTCTCCTTTTCTGTTTTCTTTCTTCTTGCATGACTTGTCTCACTCTGATGAAATGAACTTTGTTAAGTATGCCGACAATCTAACTATTTCAACGTCTGTTAACTCCCAGCTTGACTGTACTTTTGAGTAAATCAGATGCGATATTGTGACGAATGTTGAGAATTCCATTCTGTATTTTAAGTACTGTTTTTTGAATAAGGTAGATTATTATTTTCAATGGTGGATGGTGACTAGCAGTGAAATCCAGGATGTACATTTCGTCCTATTTAGGACTCGTCATCTGGATGTACCTGCATTCCACAGTGAGTGATGATGTTCATACCGAGACTGGAACATGGATTCGAGTGCATAGGAAGAAACGCGCATCCTGGATTCCACTGCTAGTCACCATCTATCAATTAAATCCTAATTACTTGCCCAAACATCGTCGAAGCATATGCACAGGAAGCCGACATGTCAACCTGAGACCGAGCACCTCGGTTCAATCAATCGACGGGAAAAATCTAAAATTCATTTAAATATTGTCATTTTTTAATAGCTGGTCACTTGAGATAGCTATTCATTTTGGAAATAAAGTGTTTTGAAACATAGTCTTAATTCACAACAAGCTTTAATTATAGCTATTAGATGAACTTAAATTTTAAATTATGAGATTTTGATGAGTTGTTAGTGAATTTTAAGGACATGGAAAAGATAAAAATCATTTAAATACACTTATCATAAACTTATATAAGATCCTGAATTATACGGTTATAGAGACTTATTCTTGCACTGAAGGTCTAAGAAAAAACATTTACATGGCTTAGTGAATTTATGCCTGTTTCGTGCCGGGGAAAACTGATTCTCTGTGTACTAAATGAGTAAAGTATCTTTTCCGATAAAAAAGTAATATGTTAACAGTATGTTGTTCTAACAATCAGAAAATTTAGAAAAAAAAATCAGGACTATAAATACATGAAACAATCCAGAATCGAGATACAAACTGAAGTACAAATAATTTTTAGCCAGAAATCATCCGGGAGTTGAATGGTCTAAACTTTATATTTCTTAATCAGATTGGGTTTTTTTACTCAAGTTCTGCTATTTTTATACTCTTAGTCTTAATGGATTATACACTATGAGCATCCCCTTGATATTTTCAAAGTATGAAGTATCTTACATGAAATAAATTAGGACATATTTCACTAAATTCGAGAAAAGCATACTTAGTGAATACATGAGGATGTAACTTGAAGCTTCCTAGATTTAAAATTCATGAATGAATGAATATATGGAGGATTTCATCATGAGCTGACATCAGTTAGAGAACCAATGGAAACCCCGGGAGCTCTGAACAACCGTTTCTTCCCAGTTTGGGACTCTTCATCAGTACGCACCCACCACACGGGTTCGAACCCAGGACCCTCTGGTTACGAGGCGAGCTCGTAGACTATTGAGCCACTGGGATCCGATCCAATGGTCCTTGAATTCTAACTCCTGCCAATTCACGACATAGCGCGACCATTTCACAA